CCGTAGCGCCCGACGGGTATCGACGTGGGCGGTGGACACCCAAAGATAAGGAACCATCATAGGCTCATAGCTCCAGTGAGATCCCTGAAGAACCTGCCAGGTATTGTCGAACCTCCCCTCCAATGCAACCATGTAGCGACGGACGTGCTCGTCCTCCTCGCTGACACGGTGACGTACCACCTCCGCGGTGTCCGGATGCCTCACCACCGTCACTGGCCCACGCGACCGCCACCAAACAAGGATCAGGTCAACAACGGGCTGCCTCCTCATCAACCTACGTCCCCCGGAAGGTAGCACCTCCCAATACCAACCCGGCGGAGCCCAGTCCCGAACATGGCCCTGATCAAGCAGGCCTCCACCGCCGAGTTGACGACGACGAGGATGCGGGATAGGCATCGCCGACATCGATGCGAGAACTACTTCTATATATATAGTTAAATAAAAGTAGTTTTATTAATTAAATCAACTATCTAGTTCAACTACTAAGCACACTATAAATAAATAAGTAGTACTTACTGAAAACAAACTACTTCATTATATAGTAAAATAAATTAGTTTATTAAATCAACTAGCTAGTTCAACTATATATAAACTACTTCTTATTTTTTTCCTTTTTCTAAATACTATGAACAAAAAAATCATTAAAATTCTATGAACAAAATTAATTACACAATCTAAATATCACCAAAAAAATCTATTAACAATAATATAACCAAACATGCATATTTAATAATAATATCACCAAAAAATCTATTAACAGAAAAAAAATCTAACATAATATGGTGGTGGCTCCGTGGCCATCCCGGCAGGGCGCCCGAGCTCGTCTATGGGCTAGATGCCCCTTCCCCCTCTTGGTCGTAGGTGTGGACAAATGCCTCTGTGTGGCCCCACCTCACCGGAAATGGTTCCAAGCATGTGGGCCACCATGAGCGCATCGAGGCAGAGGCTGTGGTGATTCATGGGAGGTAGGCAGCCATCTGTGGCTCACTAGAAAGGTCCTCACATAGGCTAGGGATCATGGACCTAGGACGACACCGGTAAGGAGGAGAATCGGCAGCGTCTGGTGCGTGCTGAGGAGCGGCAACATCTGAAGTATTTTTTTTCTACACACTCCATATATGTCGATATGTAGAGCCTAATTCTTATTTTGAGATTTATTGTAAGTCGAGAACCTTCATGTGCGATAGTCCTGTTATTGAAGGAAGACCCACATCAAAGTTGTGTATTGGACTGTTTTACACCATATATCATCCAAAGAAACCAGACATCATGCATAAAGTCTGTCAAAATGACACCTGGTACACAACTGAACCCTGAATAGAATTTGGATCAAGTCATGGAATCTTTGTTTCCATATGATATTCTCCCATCTCCATTTATATTATGCACACGCTCATTCGGCTTTCTTCTATATAGATGTGGGGTTTCTTCTCCAGTTCATCTGGAGAGAATATATTGTGTTGTCCTCTTCCTCACTTCATGCTACTCGGCTCCCCATCTATCCGCTCGAGGCGCCATCATCTCGGAATGAGCATGAGATCTCTGGCTTCACGACAACCTTTGGGAACTGGATCAATGCACCGCTACCAATGGTTCCCATCCAATGTTGCACCCTGGCCTTCAAAAGAATTAACCAATGAGTATTGAATATTCAGCTACCATCATATTTTAATGTACGATAATATAAATATAAACAATATCTTGTCGTGCACACTAAGTAGAATACAAATCTTGATGTAGAACAACTAAGCTTTTGTTAATTTGTTTTTTCTTGAGAGTCATCTATGGAATTATGCAAGATTCTCGTGCATCTACACCATTGTTTCATGAATAGTTCAACCGAGAAGAATGCATCAAGGAAAACAATAAATACAAAAAAGCATAAAATAACCATGCTGACACATCAAAACAGAAAATGGTGACCAACACATAACATCTCTTTAACATTACATGTCGCTATATATTTTCCACGTGTACTGTGTTGATCCACTAACAAAATAGAGTGATATAGATAATTTCATCTTCTTCGTGGAATTCACTGCAGATATGAGGAATATATGAGTAATACGGTTTTTGTATTGTACCATAGGAAATGAGATAAGTTGTTGTTTGTACAAAGAGTGGGCATTAGTCAAAATATATTAGCAAGCTATAATTCAACTGAAACAAACTTGCAGAAACCATCTCGTACTCACAACTCTCAACAGTTCTATCTAGCAAATGTGAAACTAAATAACTCAACTCCACTATTAAACATGAAAACAATGAATAAAAATTCCAAGTCCAAGCATTAATTGCATCATATATATGAGGTGCATCGATACATATAGCTAGACATCAATAGTCATACAACCAAAAAAATAGTTTATCATACGAAGGGCATCCACAAGCCGGACCCTGAAATTAAGATGCTAATAGCATACTATGCATAAGCGCGTCGGCTACCCCCTCCGGCAAGGTGGGGTGTGGTGCGGGGATGGGTCTTCCGTCTTCGCGGATATAGATTGGATTTTCGGTGCCCAGCAACACCACCGGGTTAGTCCATGCCACATACGGTTCCTCATTGGCGGTCATAACAGAGCAGTAGTCTTCATATTTTTGTGACAGCTCATGATCCCACCCATGCCCCACACTCATACACCACAAGAGGACCTTCATGCACAGGCCGCCATATCACCATAGACGACCCTGATCCGGTCCTGCTTGTACTATGTGGTAAAAATCAGCACACCCTCCTCCTTATAATTCAGTTCCTTCAAGGTGCCATACTAGGAAGCGATCTCCTTCATCTCGTTCAGCAGTACAGCATCGTCAAACGCTAACACCTTAATGAGCCCGTGCGATCCCCTACTACCGTTCATCTGACCGTTCATCTGTAAAAATTGTACAAACTAATTAAGATGTCAATATTTATAAAAACATGCATAAAACAACAACATGTAATATACATATGAAACATAAGACTCCTAGAATCACTTAATTACATCGATATATGCAAAGTATAAAATGGTATCATATGCATAAAGAAAAAAACATACCATCAGAACCATATCACCTTCTATCAATATTTGCTATAAACTCCATTATACACACCCATATTCTCAATCATCGACATCAAATTAAACCTATCTAGCTAGCTAGATCCATATCCTTGATCCACATATATCTCATATCGATAGAATCCATTGTGAACATCATTATATGCCTATGAAATTTCCATACTTACAAAAATATGACAAAAACTTATAAAAGTGATAAACAGAAGAGCTCACCTCCGACCGATGTGGTTTTCTCGCTCATGGTGTCGATGTGCTGCACTTTGACGGTCGGTCGACCAATTGGGTTTCATGGTGGAAGGTCGGACGGCGTCGTGGTGGTTGAGAGGATGCGTCGCAGTTGTCGGCTTCAAGATCTGGTGGCGAGGAGGCGAGGCCAGCTGGACGGCGGCGAGATTGGGGGCAGGCGGCGGTGCTGCGGCGAAGGGAGGGAGCTGCAGAGTGGGGACAGAGAGAGAGAGGCGTGCTATGGGCGATATAATTGGCTGGTTGGGCGGTGGTAGGGATATTATCCAATGTTAGTGGAGTGCATTTTGATGGCCGCTCAACTTACAGGAGACGAATTTTTTTGTTTTTTAAAAGAAACTTTATTATACTCCTCCGTTAAGGAACACTTGGCTTATGTAGACCACCGTCACAGAGCCATCAAGCGCAGTGAGCATAGCCACGTGGCACGACTCTTCACCTTGCGGTCCGTAAAGCCTTGCGCTTTTGCCATTATACGTTGAGTGTTTTTTATAAGGTGAGTTCACTTCAGGCGTATCATGGCGTATGACATAGTAAGCCAAGGGCCTGTTCTTCGCCATGCGCCTTGACGCCGATACTAGGCTTAGAGTGCCATAAGGCGAGTGGCCGATAACATACTCTCAGCACACCAAAAAATACAAGAAAAACACGTCGCTCCATTAGTGGTAGTTTATCTTTGGATCTCGTCATCAAATGAAATTTTGAATACATATTTTATGCAGAATATTATACATGTTTTGTCAGTTAAATTAAAGATCTAAAAGTTTATTCCTGGTTTATAAACCAGACCAAAGAGTATGGATATTTGCCTGCATGGACCACTTAACATAGCCATGTTCACAGAGGCACTCCTAGATCCATGTACACAAGAAAAATTATTTGTACGGATTATCATCAAATACTGATAGGCAGTTTCCAAACGCCAGATTTTTCACGAACCCGTGCCTTGGTACTGCCAAATCGGCATGCCGGCATTAGCACGGTTTCGTAAACAAAATGTTGATGTGACACGATAATCAAATAAGGGAGATGGGATAATTGTATGTTTTAGTGGAGATACGTTTCTTAACTCATTTCCATGTGTACTGTAATTAATTCTTAGATCCAGTGTGACTAGTCTCCTACTCCCTCCGTTTCAAAATAGATGACTCGGCTTTGTACTAACTTTAGTAGCTAGTAGTGAGGAGTTTCATACACTAATATCATGCATATGATACTACCCTTATATATAGTGCATATTACTATAAGTTGGTATCTTAGGGCATCTCCAAAAGCTGCATATGATAATGTGGCATTACATAATTGAGGAGAGAAAGCAAAGTTATATGTAAATTAACCACAACCTTTGAACAAGCTTCAAGGTAAAAAAGAGAGAATAACATTTGTGCTCTCACTTCCTAATGGACAATCTATAAATACCATCCATTGGAGTAATTGTATGAGTCGGGTTGCAGTGGGTGGTATCATATGAAGCATCATGCATACCAAGTAAGCAGTTTAGATGAGCTTGTATACAATTAAACTGTTTATTTTACAAACATTAATAAACAGTTTGACTTGGGACAAAATTTATAATAAGCTTTTTTGGAGACGGAAGAAGTAGAGTGTTGTTCCTTGTCTTGTGCTAATTAATCTGTGTCTTTCTCCAACCAACTAATTAAAATACAGTAATGTTCTGTTTGCTTGTTGGTGTTTCAGCTTGGACTCGTTGTCACTAGGGAAGCTCTGGGACGAATGGCAGATCCAGTGCCTAATGCTTGTAAGCTTTGGCCTACAAGTGTTTCTCTTCTTGGCAGCAGGCATGCGGAGGCGCAGCACTTCACACAAACTCGTGTCACTGCTATGGCTGGCCTACTTATCAGCCGACTCCGTGGCCATCTTTGTCCTGGGGCATCTGGCTCTGCATGCCAACAGACCGGAGCACCGACTTCTCTTCTTCTGGGCGCCGTTTGTGCTCCTCCACCTGGGTGGGCAGGATACCATGACTGCCTTCTCCATGCAGGACAACGATCTATGGAGGCGCCACCTGTTGGGGCTGGTCACCCAAGTTGCTGCAGCTGGCTACGTCGTCTCCAGGACTAGCTGGCCGGATAGGCGGCTCCTGTCTGCCATGGTGCTCATGTTTCTCTCTGGGTGCTTTAAGTATGCTGAACGTACATTGTGCCTTTACAGAGCCAGCCAAAAAAGGATCAATCAGTATTCATTGGCTCGTTTGAGTAATTATGCAATGGTGCTCGTTGCTGATGGTGACTCAAACAAACATTATCAGGATATGTTGGCGGAAAGATTTATGTACATGGTTAATGCCGTTTCGAGAAGATATGGAGCAAGCAGGATTTCTCTGGTATCAGATACTCCAACCAATGATTATCTTATTTCTCAAACTAAACACCAGGATATACCAAGCTTACTCCAAGGGTTCAAATCCAATGAAGACCGCTACAGAGTATATAACTATGTCAGTGCAAAAGTCGTTCATGTTTATGAACGCCTCTACACCAAGGCACCGATTCGTTTTGTTTACATAGAATATCTATCCAAAATATTGTCGGACGTACTCGGCAATAATGATTGGTCTTCATTACAGTGTGGTCTATCTGTCCATTCTGTTGGTTCTCTACTCTGCATGTTGCTACTTCTCTTTCCATTACTACTCTGCACGTTGCTACTTCTCTTTCCATTACTTTCAATCTCGACAGCGCTGGTGTTATTCAAGGTTGCTGAAAATGGCCAACTGTACAGCCAAGCTGATGTCACCGTGTCCTACATATTGCTGATAGGAGCCATAATCTTGGAGGTGTCATCTCTCTTCATCTCTATTCTACCCTGTGTGTCCAGCACGGATATATTTCAGTGTGCAACAAAACAATGGTCTGAAATGCTTGGGCAGTACAACATGACCACAAGTCTCACGAGACAAAAAGATACTACATGCATCATGTCGTTTGTTCACCAAAAGATTGGAAAATATCTAGTAGATGACAGTATATCCCACATCCCCATTACCGAAGATCTCAAGAGGTTTGTCCTCGACAAACTATTGGACTTTGGAACCAGGGAACAAGACTGGAACTTTGCAAGCTCCCACGGTAAATTAGCACTTGGGAAATGGAGGGACAGACATACAGATTCAGTTTCAACAAGGCTAGAAACACCTCTAAGCACGGTCATCAATGATTTGGTTCTGCCAACAAGCGTCCTGATATTGCACATTGCGACAGACATATTATACTTTCAAGACAACAAGAGCATTAGTTCTCATCAGCAAACAATGATGAAGAAGAGCACAGAGCTATCAAATTATATCATGTATCTTGTCTTCAAGTGTCGTGTGATGCTTACAGCCAACACAGAGATCCTGCACAACAATGCCCATATGGAAATGAAGGCACTTTTAGCAAAGCGTGTTAATCTAGGTGAGAAGGAAGCTATCATACAGGCATTTGAAGCTAACAAAGAAGGCCACGGTACTCACAGGGAACAAGCAACTCAGATGCAACTTCTCAAGAACACGTGGAAAGCTATCACTTCTCCATTATTGCCTCGTGCATTCGACGTGGCCCAGGAGATCATTGATATGCACAGAGATGAAGCTGACTGCTGGGACCTTGTCAGTGCAGTGTGGGTGGAAATGCTTTACTACATCGTGCCTCGTTGTGGAGGTGCTTTCCACTCCCAGCAACTTACCACAGGTGGTGAGTTCATCACACATGTCTTATACCTCATGCCACTGTTAGGCCCTTTTCTACCACCTCCAAGTGCATAGCTTTTATGTCTCAAATAATTTATGTGTGTGTGTGTGTGTGTGTGTGTGTGTGTGTGTGTGTGTGTGTGTGTGTGTGATAAGTCTAAATTCCATCAAGACTCTGTACGATGGAGGAGATATACAAGAAACATTGTGCGACTATTAAACTCATTGAGTTAGGAACCAGTTCATGTACAATGATTTTATTTCTAATAGTTGCAAAAGATATATTTGTGACATGTATATCAGCAGTGGGACCTAAGTAATATTTCCATGAGATATTGTTTGGAAATGTAGTTACTGCATACAAAAACGAGCCATCTCAATGCAACCCAGAATGAACAGTATATGCGCAGATGAGAGATATTTGTAGGGCATGTCCTACACCCCAACCTTAAGAACTGAATAATTCTAAATTATGAAATTCTACCACCTAAGTTGCATTCAGCAAATTAAACTCGTTAAGTGTGTTTTCCGCCAAAAAAAACTCGTTAAGCGTGCCAACCCTATTCTTCCTTTCAATACGCCGAGCTACGCTAATCAACCTCAAAATCAGGAAATTAGGCATATAAGTTGCAAACAGGAACAATAAGGTTGCACAAACAATTGCATGCATGCTCATAAGAATGAACAACCGGAACAGCGACAGCTCAAACTTAATCTTCGGAAGCGACACAAATGCCCAGGACACAGCTCCCACCCACGATTCTGTCGGTATAAGTCTTAGTTTAACCCAGAACTCCCCACCGATATCAAAATCTCGAACCCAGACTGGCACAGCGATTGGTACGGCACTGAAATTTAAGGAGAGAGCCAGTGCCATGCGTGCATCGCCAGCCTAACGAATGCCAATCTGGTACTTGAAATACACAATGAGTTAGTCAACTCTCACTTCTTTTCTACACCAACATTTCATCTTGGCTTCTTCAGATAAATGCAATTCTGGCAGCAATGACTCCTGGAAAGAAAATTAGCATGAACTTACATGAAAACTAACAGATACACACCAACAATAATTTAAGTATTCTCATAGAACTAAAACTATGATTCTTATCATAAATCCACAGTAATCCTTCTCATGGAACAACCTCACTATATTTTCAAGATGATGATCTTTCAGTTCGGAGCAATCCTTCAAGTTGAGAACACGCAGATGTCTGAACTCTTCCAAAGAAGGGATTTCCAACAGACTTCTAACCATAGTAAATGATCGAACATGAGACAACATGAGACCTGCTGTCAATATTGTTGAATTTCCTTCCTCGACACCTTGAAGACAGAGTCGATGAACAACTTTGCTTTGGTTCCCACTTGTCAGAATGGGAACCCCAATTATAGTAACAAAGTTCTCTTCTATAGACTTGGATATGATGAAATCAAGAACTGTGTCATGAACCCAACAACTCTTCATGTTGTCATATACATATATTTTCCCATGTTGGATCAAACCCCTATTGAGTAGTTCATTAAAACACGTTTCTCCAAATTCATATGCACTGTATTATCCTTCTCTATGAATGAATCCTTCAGCGATAGACGCGTCGTCTTCTCTGGGGAGACTCGGGGGCTAACCCTAGCTGCCTCCAGCGCTCCTCTCCTCCCCCCCTCTCCGTTGCCGCCAGAGGTGAGCTCCGGTGCGGGCGCGCAGCACTGATGAAGGTGGCGGCGGGGACTCCGCGCCTCCACCTCGCATGGAGGGCTTCGGCTTCCGGGGCGGCGGCCCCGGCCGGTGGTGCGCGGCGTAGCCGGAGCGGCGGGCTGCGCCGGCGGGTGCAGGTGGCTCGTCCCTCGGCCGTGCGGGCGGTGAGGGACGGCGGTCGTTGGCTGCCTCCGCTGGATCTTGGAGCTGCTCTGTCTTTCGCCCGATCTACTCCGTTCCGCGCTGGCTCCTTCTTCCGGCGGCTGTGGTCGTCCTCCCCGTGTGCTAGCTTCATGGATCTGGTGGGAGGGTGTGCATCCGGAGGAAACTTTTGGTCGGCGCGGCGGCCACATCAAAGTCGACACCTTTGGTGCCGATCCCCTCCTTGGAGGCTTCGGTGAGGATCCTCCTGTAGGGGAACGTAGCAGAAAACAAAAAATTTCCGACCTACGCACCAGCTCAGGACCACTATGGAGACTGCATACATGGTTTGTTCTTTTTCGTTACCGACTCGTAGCGCAGCGGGAAGTAGAGTCGATGACGAATGGCGGTGCAGATCCCCACAGGTAGGATTTACAACCTCCCAACCGCGAGGATGTATACCCTCATCTGCTCCTCAGACAGCCCTCCGGGAGACGGTCGAACAGCCCCCCGGACGGTGTCGCGGACAGCCCTTCGGGAGGACCTTCGAAACTCGAACGGTCACTCGGAAAGCCCTTCGGGAGGACCTTCGAAACTCGGACGATCACATGGACAGCCCTTCGGGAGTCACTCACGAACTAAGATCGAAACTACAATCTCTCTACAGAGTTGCACACATACGGTGTCATCTATCCGGCAGGGGTTCGCCATCCAGAACTAGTTCCTGCCGGAACCCAGACAACCTTTCGGCTCTACGAAACTATTTCGCTGGGAGGGAGAGAAGAAGCCAGATCATTGCATGGCACTTGTATGAGAGCAAAAAGGGATGAGAGTGGAGAGCACCCCTCCACCTCTATTTATAGGAAAAGCCTAGGGCTGGAAAAAAAGCTCGAAGCTCGCGAGCTAAACGAGTAGCTCGTGACTCGGCTCGAATCGACTCGAACTCGAAGAATAACAAGTCGAGCCAAGCTTTAGTTTAAGATCGTTTATAGACCAAGTTAAACGAGCCAATCTCACGAGTACTCGTGTAACTCGTTAGTCTCGGTACAAAAGATCAGCCACTCCCAATACAAAAAAAAGATCAGCCACTCAGCACACTATGTCCCAGGCGCACAACACAAGGCCTAGCCGTTGAAGGCCCAACCTCCTAAAAGACTCATGCGTTACAAGGAAATTATTATTGTTTAGTGATATATATGTTTAATATATACATAATCATTTTATAATATACGAGGGTTTTATGTTCATATCTTTAACGAGCTTAACAAGCTAAACGAGCCAGCTCGCGAGTTATACGAGTCGAGCCAATCTTGGATTTGAGCTCGTTATAATAACGAGTCGAGTCGAGCTAGCTCGTTAACGAAATGAGCTCTAGCGAGTCGAGCCGAGCTAGCTCGACTCGGCTCGAATTCCAGCCCTAGAAAAGCCCATGGGGACAAATACCCAAAAAACCCATCACATGGATCCTTCATAAGGGTAAAATGGGAAGGCAAGTGGGGCTCCATGGAGGACCTGCACCCTCCAACGTCCCACCTTCACGGGGGCCCCCCAAAGGGATTTCCGTGATCCCCAAGTCCTTCTAGAAGCCTTTTGGGAAAAGCCCCAAAAGGTGGCTTTCCATAAAATATCCCAAAAAGCACTTTCACTATTCACGACGACATTTTTCAGCGTCCGTTCGAACTGAAAATATTTATGTGGGCTTAGAACATTTCCAATACCCACCATAATAATTTTCAATGCGTTCTGGAACAATTCCACTTTAGTGATTTTCATCTGCGAAACGCATCTGAAGTGGCTCCGGTAGCTTCGGAACATTTCCGGTTTTTATCTCAGAAAATTCCAAAAAGCTTCCAGAATGATTCTGGCACCCTCCAAGAATTATCAGGCATGTGCCGAAACCAATTTTACTTAATGGTATATCCCGAAACAACTTTTTGGTATCATCGAAACTTATCCGATGACCTCTCTCTGCGGTATGATTCCGCTGTCCGAAACCATTCCGGTGTCCAAAACTTTTTTCGGTGATTTTCTCTCAGACTCCCTGTCTAGTATTCAGCAGATAGATTACCCTTAAGCGTGTGACCCTATAGGTTCGGTGAAGTATAGACATGACCCGGAACCCCTTCCGATCAATGATCAACATCGGAGTCGTGGACACCCATATTGACCCCTATACCCACACGAATGAATATTTGAGTGAACCTCCAGTTGCCGTGTGCTATTCCTGTTGCTTCGCGATATGTTACAAACCCGAGGTGAGATTTACTTGCATCCCCATGGATCAACAACTTGTCCACTATGCTAGTTACCTCGTTACTGGTTTTGTTCTCTTTTCTCGTTTCCGTGTTCCGGCATCCCTATGATCAAATCACACTGTGTCTGGCCAGACGATGATGGATACCGTAACAACGAGAGGGCCCGAGAATATCTCTCCAACGTCGGAGGAGCAAATCCCAATCTTGAGCTATCAAGTTACTTGACACACTTTTCCATGAACCTGTAAGCCGCCGTAATAGCCACCCATTTACGGATGACGTTTAACAAATCCCAAAGTTCATGAAGCAAGCATGAAGAAACTCGATACTCTCATGGTCTAAGGAATCATGCAAACGTTAACAATCTTTGTGTTATTTACCATTAACTTGTGACGAATGAATCTCATAGCATAACATCAATCCGGGTCGATTCAACACAAATGTTCTCTTAACATTGTGCCCTCAAAGTTGCTGGCATAGACATGCCCATGATCAGGAAAACAGAACCATCATGCAACACTTGAGCTAGTCTTAGAGGCCAGACTAGGAATACTTCTTACCGTTTATTATTCCACACGTGCATATGAGTCATCCTTCGAGCCTCGTGGATATTGCAGACTCGAGAATCATTGCAGTTATAGCATGGAACATAAACATAATTATGAACTAGGAGATAAATAATATCATTTCACTACTAGGGAAAACCCTAGCAGTAGCGCGTGTTTTGTGTCCACTAGTAGTGCGGGGGCCGCGCTACTAATAAGGCGCTACAGCTATTGCTTAGCAGTAACGCGTGCCAGCATGCGCTACTGCTAGGACAAATAGCTGCAGCGTTTGTTCAGTACCATGCTACTGCTAAGGTAACTACTTGCAGCGTGTTTTCTTTCCATCGCTACTAGTATTTTTTTTTAATTTTTAGTGTATTTATGCGCCATCATACAAATATTGGTACAATACCAGTTGTTATGAGGTTTACATCATTATGT